TGGACTTGTTGGAGGAAGTGTGTGACTAGAATTGAGCTTTGAAGTTTCAAAAGCCTATGCCAAGCCCAGAATATCTATCTGTCTGTCTATCAATCTGTCTGTGTATGGATCAAGATACAGTTCTCAGCTACTTTCCAATGTCTGCCTGCATGCCACCACTATGATAATAATGGACCAAGGCTCTGAAACTCTAAGTAATCCCCCAATTAAATGTTTTCTCTTATAATAGTTGCTTGGAAGTGATGTATCTTCACAGCAATAGAGCAGTAACTAAACTAGAAGTTGGTACTGGGACTGGGATATGTCTGTGACAGGCCTCTCCATGCTGTTTGTTGTAGGAATATGGATGCCTTTGAAGCTTTGGACTAAAAAAGCAGCAGAACATTTTAAGCTGAGTTTTCTTTGCCATCCTAGTAGGAGCATGGAATACAGTGGGGCTGAGAGTAATATAGATTATAATGGCCTGACTGGGAGGGGAATAATATTAGTAAGTGGCCTAGAGACCGTTCTTGGGATATTCTGGAGAAAAATGTGACTACTTTTTTCCCTTGTTGCCCTCCCCCACAAATCTGTCTGAAGCTAAATTAAAGAGTCTTGGATTAATGGCACTGGCATTATGCGGATCTATAATGAAAAGGACCAAGCTTAGCAAGGAAAATATACAGTTTGAGAAGAAAAGGAGTGCCAGGAAATGTAATGTAGAAGACAGAAATAGAAAGTTTAGAGAAATGCCGGATGTTAAATGGAATAAAAGGGGTGGTGACTTCAGAGCCAGACCCCACCCATCTAAATTTCCAATCTGTTAAAACCATCAATATCAGAAAAGTGATGCAATTGTAATAATTGAACGAGGATGCCAAACTCCAGCCCCATCAAACTGCATAACCTGACAGCTTTAGAGTCAAGGACACAAGAAAGGGGTTGTAGAATCTCCCTCTATGGCTAAGAAAACCTCCTGAGGCCAGGTATCTGTCAGGGGTGTACCTGCACAGAGGTTATTGAATGAAGCTGTGAAGATGAAGCCTGGATTGTGTTGAATATCCCAAGATGCTGGAGATGCCAGAGTTGTGTGACATCTGCCAAAGAAAGCTGCAAACTGGGTATGGAACCATCCCAAGAGAGAGAAGTGTGTTACAGTCAACAAAGCTGAATAGGGTTGGAAATCTGAAGTATTCTTGGACATCAGACATGGACATGTAGAATTTGGAGTTTGCCCTGCTGGTTTTTGGTCTTGCTTTGGTCCAGTATTTCCTCATTATGCTTCCTTTCCTTCTTTTTGAAAAGATAATGTGTATTTGTACCACTGTAGGTTGGAAGCATGTGTTCTGCTTTTTTATTTTGATTTTACAGGAGATTACAGTTAAGAGATTGCCATGAGTCTAAGAGGAGACTTTGAACTCCTGACTTTTAAACCATGTTGAGACTGTGATAGACTATGGGGACTTTTTATGTTAGAATTATGTCTGAATTATGATATTGCTATAAGGGGCTATGGAATAGAATGTGCTAGCTTGATAAGAATTGCCCCCCCCCCCGTAAGCACATTTATGTAAATGTTTAGTCACCAGGAAGCAGAACTATTTGAAAAGATTAGAAGGATTGGTAGGTATGATTTTGCTAGAGGAAGTCTATCACTGAGGTTTCCAAAGCCCATGCCAAGCCCAGAGTCTCTCTGCCTGTGAGTCAGGATGCAGTTCTCAGCAATAGCTCTAACACCTGACTATATGTGGGAACAACAGACCTTGGCCGGAGACCCACTTCCCCATCAGCCTGGGAGCAGGCAGCTGTGAGACAATGTTTACTGAAAACAATCCAGTGCCCTAAGAAATGTTTACAGGAGCTATAAGTTCCTGATAAGGGCTCCCTCACTAAAACACCCTTTGATCTTTCTAAAGGCTAGCCGCTTCTTCCTGACCCCTGCTGCTACTGGTGTCAGGGATACAACCACCAGCCAGGAGGAGGAAGTGTGTGTGTGTGTGTGTGTGTGTGTGTGTGTGTGTGTGTGTGTGTGTGGCAGAAGCTTTTCTGGAGGGAAGCATTTCTTGGGAAGTTCTCTTGAGCCTTCTTGGGGAGCATAAAGTTTTCTTAATGCAACCGACTGGTCTCTGTGTCATCAATCCCGACACCCTTGCCACATTCTCAGATACAGGCTGCGCAGCGGGTGGGGCAACTATATGTCACCATGCTTCCTGTCATAATAATAACAAACTAAACCTCTGAAACTGTAAGCAAGCCCCAGGTAAATGCATTATCTTATAATAGTGCCTTGGTCATGTTATCCCTTTTTTTTAAAGATTTTATTTATTTATTTTATGTATAAGTGCTCTATCTTCATATATGCCTTTATGCCAGAAGAGGGCATCAGATCCCACTATAGATGGCTGTGAGCCACCATGTGGTTACTGGGAATTGAACTCAGGACCACTAGAAGAGCAGCCAATGCTCTTAACCGCTGAGCCATCTCTCCAGTCTCCCATGTTATCTCTTCACAGCAATATAAAAGTGACTAAGACAGAAGCAAAAATGGATAAACATATAGTAGGAAAAAATTCTTTAAGTTCAGGGGGGAAATCCCTGTTTAACTTAAAGGGTTCATCAAGTGGGCAGCATAATGAATGATTATGAGATATCCATCCATCCAGCCATCCCCTTACCTTCTAATCCCTGTCTATCCACTCACTCACCATACACCCACCTTCCAATGCACCCAACCACTTACCCATCCATTCATCCATGCAACAAACACATCATGTGTTGTTTTGGATGTGAGAGACACAGCTATTACATAGATGACAGCAGAGCTTGTCTTGAGGACTTAGATCAGGAAGGTAAGTGTGAAGGAACTAAGCAAACCAGATAGTTTCAGATTGCTAAAGACTATAGGGAAATGAGGAGGAGCAATGTGACTAATGTGAAGAGGGAGAAGTCTCGGTGAGGAAGTGGCATGGCCAAAAACCGAACAAATGATCAGTTTGGTCTGCATTTCAGTTTTGTCACCTAAAAATGCAGGATAATAGTACCTGCCTAACAATGTTGGGAGCTCTCCTAAATTAATAGTGTATGTAAGGCACATAGAAGAATGCTTGGTCTGTTCTGGGGTGAGAGCTGACTATGCTTCATATTCTTACTAATGATATAGAAATGTCCAAACCACACATGGAGGGCCCCTGTAAGGAAAATAGTTAAGATCTCCTGGGTAAACTAGGAGGGGTGTAGAACAGAGAGGATGGGGAAGGGAACACGCGGGATCAGGAAGACAGAGTTGGGGGAAGAATGGAGGGAGTGAGCAATGAAAGAGATATCTTGATAGAGGGAGCCATTATGGGATTAGAGAGAAATCTGGTGCTAGAGAAATTCTCAGGAATCCACAAGGATGACTCCAGTTAAGACTTCTAACAATAGTGGAGAGGGTACCTGAACCAGCCTTCTCCTTTAATCAGCTTAGTGACTGACTATTCTAATTGTCATCACAGAACCTATATCCAGTAACTGATGGAAGCAGATGCAGTGACTCACAGCCAAGCACTGGCTGAACTCCTGAAGTCCAGTTGAAGAGAGGGAGGGGGGATCATGTGAACAAGGAGGGTTAAGAGCATGATGGGGAAAACCACAGAGACAGATGACCAGAGCTAGTGCGAGCTCATGGACTATGGACTGAGAGCTGGGGAACTTGTATGGGGCTGAACTAGACCCTCTGAATGTGGGTGGCAGTTATGTGACTTGATCTGTTGCAGGGGGGGGGCTCTGGCAGTTACACCAGGTACATGAGCTGGCTTTTTGGAGCCCATTCCCTATGGTGGAATACCTTATTAAGCCTTAATACAAGGGTGAGGGGATTAGTCCTGACTCAACTTCATATACCAGACTTTGTTGACTCCTCAAGGAAGGCCTTGTCCCCTCTGAGAAGTGGATGTGGTGGGGTGGGAAGGGAGGATCTGGGAGAGGTTGGAGAGGGGAAACATAATGGAAATGCATTCTATGGAAAACCAAATAAGAGATAACAAAGCTAGTTTGCTTTAGTTTGCAGGAGTGAGAAGTAGGTGCGTGGAGAACTTTTCATTTTGGTGAGAGTGCAGGTTCATATGTGTGCATGTATGTACAGATGCGTGTGCACACGCCCTCAGGTGCTGCTCCTCAGGAACTTTCTTCTGGATTTTTGAAATGGTCTCTCATTAGTCTGGGGCCCACTGATTAAACCAGACTTGCTGGCCAGTCACAAGCATCTGCTCAAGTCCACTTCCACAGCACAGGGATTAAAAGTGTGTGCCACCACATCTGGCATTTTTACGAGGGTTCTAGGGATCAAACTTAGTTCCTCATGCTTGTCAGGCAAGCACTTTACTGAGCTAGCTCTCCAGCCATTAAGTACAACTTACTTAAGGGGTGATCAAGACCCCTTGAATGTGGATGTCAATGAGGAGGCCTAGGCAATCTATGAGGCCTTGGGTAGTAGATCAGTATTTATCCCTGGCATACAAATGGACTTTGGGCACCCATCCAACAATGAGAGATGCACTCTCACCCTGAACTCTTGGGGAGGGTCTAGGCCCTGCCCTGGATGAAATGACAGACTGTGGACACACCCATGGAGGGCCTCACTCTCCCTGGGAAAGGAGGGTGTATGGGGGTGGGTGTTTGGCGGGAGGGTGTGGGAGGAGGGGAGGGAAAGAGAGAGGGACCTGGGATTGACATGTGAAGCAACCTTGTTTCTAATTTAAATTTAAATTTAAAAAAAGAATGACAATTATGCATTTAATAAAAAAACAAGAAAAAATTAATTAATGCAATAAGCATCCCCTTATCTCCTTTAATTAAAATACCTCTGTGAGGATCAAAAGGGACACAGACAAAGGTGACAGACACCCTGTGGCCTCCACCCTCCAGGAGCATGAACTTCCACTGTAGAGACAAAACACATGAAGCAGTTGGGAGGCAAGGACAGTGTGGGCCAGGTGTGGAGTCACACAGAGCTGGCAACCCTGCTGCTTGGAGGTACTTACCCTGTAGTATAAGGGATGTTGATGCCTCCTAGGTTAATGCTCTCACATCCAACAATAAACAGGGTTGAGAAGCACAGCAAAGACACCCCGCTGCAGATCATGGCTAGTTTTGCAGATTCTCTTGCACCAAGCTTCAATTTTTTTATAATGTAGCCTCCCAGGACAATGCCAACACCGGCACTGGGGACAATGATGACACCTGGAAGAAGAGGGCATTAATGTGTCAGCGGTCCCCTCTAACTGTTCTGTTTCTGTTTGCTCATTACCACGAGGATAAAGAAGAATAGGAACTGCTCTAATCCATAAATACTCAGTGTGTGATTTTACAGCATGCTGCTTTCAACACACATTGACAAAGGAGTCAGATCCAAAAGATACAAAAAAACCCTTTTACAAAGCAATAATATAAAGACAAATAATTCATGAAAAGATGAACAAACTTTGAAATGGCTCTTCACCAAACAGAAAATCCAAATGTCCCAAGCAAATGAAAAGGTATCCCCTCATTACTTAGGAAGAAACATTTTAAAGTTTGGTAATGACTCATGTTGGTCAAGATAAAAGTGCTGGAAACTCTCAGCAGCGGAGGACTAGAAACATTAGGATTGAAAGGTTCAGGCATTACGCTGGCCTGCCCTGTTACATGGCAGGATGCACTCAGGCAACACTCTGGCCAGCCCAGAGTTCTGTGAGAACCACGCAGGTGCAAAGGACCCCTTTAAAGGACTGACCCCTGCCTGCTTACACTCTCTTTTACTCTCTTACTCTCATCATCCCATTCTCTCTCTCTCTCTCTGTCTCTCTCTCTCTCTCTCTCTCTCTCTCTCTCTCTCTCTCTCTCTCCCTCCCTCCCTCCCTCTCTTTCTCTCTCTCTCTTACTTTTCTCTGTCTCTCTTATCTCCTCTCTCTCTCTCAGCTCAGCTCTGCATGGGTTGGTTACCCCTTATCCCCCTGTCCTTCCCTGTCCACCAATAAAACTCCACGTGGGACCGTTGACTCATGGTTTACTGGGTAAACCTAGACATTTTAACAACAAGGATCAACTTTGAAAAGCAGTTTTTTTATTACCTGGTATAACTAAAGGTAAACACACTCTGCAACAGGCCGTTCCATCCCAGTTTTATACCCGCAAAGAAACTCATGGTATATATTAAGCATCCTAACAGCCCCCAACTGAAAACAAACCAAATATCCCATAATACACACATTATATGTGGAATATTTCTATCCCAAAGTGCTATATAGCAACACAAAGGAAAACATGTAACCAAATACATGTAAAGTGGATGACACAAGAAAAAAGACTGCGACAAAATATGTACATGTTCACACCTGCATCAGGTTCAAGAACCAGGAGAACTAAGCTGCTAGTGGGAGTGCAAACTTGTACAGCCACTTTGGAAATCAGCATGATCATTCCTCAGGAAAATGGGAATCAGTCTACCACAAGATCCAGCAATTCTACACTTAGCCATATACCCAAAAGGTGCACATTCGTACAATAAGGACATATGTTCATAGCAACATTATTTGTAATAGCCAGAACCTGGAAGCAATCTAGATGACCCTCAACTGAAGAGTGCATAGAGAAAATGTGGTACATTTACACAATGGAGTACTACTCAGTGAAAAAAACAATGGAATCTTTAAATATGCAGGCAAATGGATGGAACTAGAAGAAACCATCCTGAGTGAGGTAACCCAGTAACAAAAAGACAAACATGATATGTACTCACTCATATATGGATTTTAGATATAGAACAAAGAATTACCAGCCTACAATCCATACCGCCATAGTATCTAGGAGACATGGAGGATCCTAAGAGAGACATACATGGTCCCCCAGAGAAGGGGAGAGGGACAAGATCTCCTGAGCAAACTGGGAGCATGGGGGAGGGGAGAAGGAGTTAGGGGAAAGAGAAGTGGAGAAGAGGAGAGAAGAGGAAGACATGAGAAAGCAGAAAGGTTGAGTTGGGAGGAGAATAGAGGAGAGCAGGAAATGAGATACCATAATAGAGGGAGCCATTATAGCATTAAAGAGAAATCTGGCACTAGGGAAATGCCAGAAACCTACAAGGATGACACCAACTAACAATCTAAGCAATAGTTGAGAGGCTACCTTAAATGCCCTTTCCCGATAATGAGATTGATGACTACTTTATATGTGATTCTAGAGCCTTCATCAGGTAGCTGATGGAAGAAGAAGCAGTCACCCACAGCTAAACGCTGAAGTGCACTCCTGGAATCCAGTTGCAGAGAGGGAGGAATGATGAGCAAAGGGGTCAAATCAGGCTGGTGAAACTCACAGAAATAGCTGACCTGAACAAGGGGGAGCTCATGGACCCCAGACTGATAGTTGGGCAACCAGCATAGGACTGATCCAGTCCCCCTGAAAGTGGCGTCAGTGAGGAGGCCTCGTCAGTCTATGGGGCCTCTAGCAGTAGGTCAGTATTTATTGCTAGCATACAAATGAGCTTTTTGAGCCTATTCTACATAGAGGGATACGCTCTCAGCCTAGACACATGGAGGAGGGTCTAGACCCTGCTCCAGAGGATATGACAGACTTTGAAGATCCCCCATGGAAGGTCTCATCCTCCCTGGTGCAGAAAGGTGATGGGATAAGGGTTAGTCCGGGACAAGGGGAATGGGAGGGAGAGGGAACTGGGATTGACACGTAAAACAATCTTGTTTCTAATTTAAATAAAAATGGAAAAAAGAAAAAGATTGCAACAAAATATGCACATGTTCACACCTGCATCAGGTTCAAGAACCAGGAGAACTAAGCCATGATGTTCTAGGATTCACACACGGGTAGTGTGAATATAAACGAAAGCAGTTACCATGAAACCCAAGATAGCTGGACTACGAGTGGTTCAGAACAGAGGGGCTCCTACAGCACTGAAAATGCTCTAGTCCACAAAGAGGGTCATGGTTACTCCCACAGCCTGAATGCTTATGTCTCCCTGAATGCTTATGTTAAAATCCTAACCCCCAACAAGCTGACATTAGCAGAGTGGACATCACATGAAGAGTCCCTAATTAAAAAGACCTGAGCATTCCCTGTTCTCTCCATCATATAAGGGTGTAGTGAAAAGGTCCCATCTATGAGAAACAGACCTTCACCAAATACCAAACCTGCTGACACCTTGATTTTAGACTCCTTGCCTGTAGAACTGTGAGAAACCAAACCCTCTTGTTCATGAACCGCTCCGTACATGGCAATCTTGTTATATCAGCCTGAATAGACTAAGCAAGACTTATACTTATTTCTTATATCTAAAATTTTGACCACTGAACTACTGAATGTGTTATACTGCATTGTAGAAAAATAAAGGCATTGGGTTGGAGGATGGTTCAGTGGTTAAGAGCATGTACTCTTCTTGTAGAGGACCTGAGTTTACTCCCCAGCACTCACAACGGGCTGTCCACAAACACCTGTAACTCTCTAGCTCCGGGGAGATGTGACCCTACAGACCTTCATGGGCATCTGCATTCATATTCATGATTGAACACACTTAAAAACTAATAATAAAATAAATCTTCATTTAAAAAATGAAAAATAGCCAGGCATTGGTGGTACATGCCTTTAATCCCAGCATTTGGGTGGCAGAGGCAGGTGGATTTCTGTGAGTTCAAGGCCAGCCTGGTCTACATCTACAGACTGAGTTCCAGGATAGACTCCAAATAATACAGAGAAACCATGTCTCGAAAAACCAAAAAAAAAAAAAAAAAAGGAAGAAAGAAAGAAGAAAAAAAGAAAAAGAACAATATAGTCAAAATATGCTGCCCTCTCAACCTTACAAACTAAATGAGAGACACACAGGCTCATAGAAAATCCCAGTAAAACAATTCTTCAAGGTTCTAGGAAAACACAGGGAAAGGATAAGCTGAGTCTTTCCTGGGAGAGATCAGGGAGAGTTCTCATAGTAACAGTTTTCAGCTGATATTCAATAGAAGAGGCACAGAGAGCACATTCTGAACAAAGGAAATACACGTGAGGGCATGAGGTCACAGTATTGGGTATCCATGGCACTTCAAAATACCAAGAGTGTGAAATGCAAGATGGTGGGAGGTGATGGGGTACAGGAGGAGAAGTTAGGAAAAATGAGACCATAAGAGTCCAGGAAAGAAACTCAGGTTAAATATCTGAGCAATGAGAGGCCACTGGAGAATTCCGAGCTGGGTCAGATGAGTTACATGTTATGAAGACCATTGCTGGAGTGAGATACAAGACAGCGTTGATGGAGTGAGAACTTGAATCTGAAGTGGTCAGAAGGGTAATTGCAGGGGGCCAGGTGAGCCACAGGAAAGTACCTTACCAACCACACAATAAATTCAATCAGGAGACTGGGGAAAGCATGAAAAAGCTAGTGTGTGATACTCGGTGAAACACAGATCTGAATAGAAGGACAGCAGCTTAGCAATCTCTGCTGCAGACAGGAGTTGAGGGGTCTGAAGAAGAAGCAAGCAGAGGCCTCGCACTGGGGCACCCAGAGATGTAAGCAGAGCCGTGCTGAGAGATTTAGGTGATAGTTGAATCTGAGAGGTAGGATGTTGTCAGATAATACAGTAAGAAAATGAGGAAGCCGTCTGAAGAGAGCCAGTGTTAATGGGTTATGGCAAAGAGATGAACTCATAAAAGAAGCTGAAACCCAGACAGAGGTGAGAGGAAAGCCAGGGGAGAGCAATGCCATAAGGGATTGAAAGTAACCAGGTGATCATGAACATGCAGGTGTCCACAGTTCATGTGAGAATGGTTCCCATGGATGTCTAAGTAGATACAGTTCTGAACTATCTTAGGCCTGGTGGCCCAGTCTCTCCATCACCACCACAATACCATCTTGGTCTCTCTAATGGTTGCACTCCCTTTGTGAAGGGAAATACAAAGGCTGGTCCTCCAGGCTGAAGGTCCTGCTTCCAACTGTCTGAACTTAATTTTGTGTTCTCCCCTGATACCTTCATTCCCTTTCCTGAGACCCCAGACCCTAAAGAACCAATACTCTAACCCACAGTGTCTCAGGTATAACCTCTGCCTGATACCACCTCTTGTGTAGTCCTCAAGGGGACAGTTCTGTGGTCTCTAAGCTCCTGATCCCAGCCCTCCCCAGGGACCATGATACCTAGAACTCAGTGTTGGGGTGCATCAGGCTGTGCTGAAGAATACCTCTGGCATACACACAGGAGAATGTGAAGGGACAG